AAGGTGTCTCTCTAAAAATCAGTTATTTGTCCATTGTCCACTTGCGTTATCCCGCCTTGCAAATACAAGCCTTTAACCTTCAATAGATCAGCCCACATATGTCAGAGCCACTTTTTTTTGTGTTTAACAAGCCTGGTCCCTCTGATAATCTAATATTTAGCTTTGAATAGATCTTGCCAGGGTCCCACAACAGCTTCAAGTTTCCACTACCATTTGCACAAAAGACTAATGCCAGACAGTTTTAAGTTTTTCATCCCCAAACCTCCTTTTGCTTTGGGTTAGCAACAAGGGCCCACCTAACCATATGGTATTGTTTTCTTTCAGCTGCCACACTGCTAAAAGAACTTCCTTAAGACCTTGTTCATCTGCTTAATCACAATGTCTTTCATGAGAGTATTAACAGAAAACTACCATAATTTGACCGACTCTTCAGAAAACTACCACTTTAGAGCATCTCCAGCCGCGCCCCCCAACAGGCCCCCCAGGACGCCGAAAATTGCCGGTTGGGCCCTTTTTTCCGCCCGGCGGTCACAGGCCGAACCCGGCGCACTGGGGAGCAATTGGGGGCTCCAGTGCAAGGGAAAAGCGTGGCTGGCCCACGCCGTCAGGGGAAAAGTCAAGGTTTTCTTCCCAGACTCGCCTCCCACCCCCCGCGCCCTCGGCCTACCACTAGCTATATCCCGGCGCCGCCCGCCGCCCTTCACCGCTAGATAGTCATTCCCCGCCGGAAAAATAGCAGCGCTTCGCCGCGGCAGCCCCTCCAACAGCAGTTGGGCATTTTCGGCCGCCGTTTCCAGCTGCGGAGGAGCAGTTTAACGGTGGGTACACGCCTAACGGGCGCAAGGTGTTCGGCGATTTGCCTGCCTCGGTGATGGACTCGGATGACGCGGAAGCGCTCGCCGCGCTGCTGGAGGAGGAAGCCGAGGCCGACGTCCAGGAAGAAGAGCATCTCATGGTGCTTGCCGCCCTCGCCTAGCTGCTGGAGAGCAATGAAAAGCCGCGGCGAGGTGGCTCGGCGCCTGGGCGGGTGAAAGCAAAGAACCGGCATCGTCTCGAAGGCTACTGCATGCTCTACTCCGACTACTTCGCTGATGCTCCACTTCATGGCGAGAAAACATTTCGGCGCCGTTATCGGATGAGCCGAAAGCTCTTCCTCAGGATTGTGAATTCCATCCGGGAGTTCGACAACTACTTCAAGTGCAAGATGGATTGCACCGGCGCTCTTGGATTCACCTCCATCCAGAAGTGCACGACAGCGACGAGGATGCTTGCATATGGAGCTCCCGGTGATTCACTCGACGACTATGGGCGCATGGCCGAGTCCACCAGCATAGAGTGTTTCTACAAGTTCTGTCGGGCGGTGGTGGCAGTGTTTGGACCACAATACTTGAGAACACCCAATGCGGAAGACACTGCTCGCATCCTAGCACAAAATGCAGCAAGAGGATTTCCTGGGATGCTTGGAAGCATCGATTGCATGCATTGGAAATGGAAGAATTGCTCATTTGCTTGGCAGGGGATGTACAAAGGCGCCAAAGGCGGTTGCAGTGTGGTGCTTGAGGCGGTGGCCACACAGGATCTCTGGATTTGGCACTCCTTCTTTGGTATGCCAGGAACTCACAATGACATCAACATGCTGCAGTGCTCTCCTGTCTTTGCCAAGCTTGTTGAAGGTCATTCTCCTCCGGTGAACTTCGAGATCAATGGGCGGCACTACAACAAGGGCTACTATCTAGCTGATGGCATCTATCCGAGATGGTCGACATTTGTGAAGACCATCTCAAACCCTGTGCCAAGAGGCAAGAACGCCTGGTTTGTGAAGATTCAGGAGGCGTGCAGGAAGGATGTCGAGCGGGCATTTGGTGTGCTCCAATCTCGATTTGTTGTTGTCCGGTACCCCGCTCAAACGTGGTCCAAAGATCAAATGTGGGAGATTATGACTTGTTGTGTCATCTTGCACAATATGATCATTGAGAGCGAGCAAGAAGACCCAGTGTTTGACACTGAACCATACTACACGCAGGGTCCTCTAGCCGAAGTTGATCACCAACTACCGGCAACTTGGACGCCGTGTGATGGCACGACTACAAGTTAATTTGCCTATCGTATTGAACCATACTACCAGAAAGATCATCAACTTGGACGCCGTGTGATGGCACGACTACAGGGTCCTCTAGCATAATTTGTATTGAACTATTTGTTGTTGTATTATTTTGTTGAAGTATTTGATTTTTCTGTGATGAAATATGTGATAAGAAAAAATTGGGTTGATAATTGAACGTCGAGACACGGCGAACCACGTCGAATATGGGCCTATTCTCGCCCATATGGGACCTTTATTCGCCGAAATGGGGCTGCAAACTGAGCCAATTTCGGCGCCTGAAGGCGACGACTGGGTGCAAAACCATCCCAGCGCCGATTGTACCGCCGGCTCGCCCTCAGGGGACGATTTTTATGTGTCCTGGAGGGCCAACGACTGGAGATGCTCTTAGAAATTTTTGCTGAAAGGTACCACTCTACGACTAATTTTCTTCGAAAACCACCAAGTATGACAGTTGCTCGATTCAACCAGTTTAAACCCGTCTATGATAGAGATGGCCCACATGTAAGCGCTGATGTGGCATAGTAGTCAAACTCTGTTAGATTGACCAGTAAGTTGGGCGTTATGACGTGCGGACCCACATGTCAGCATCAACGACAGAGGCCATTTCCTCGAGCATGTTGTATACATGACGGAGCACGAGCTGCCATGGCCCCTGTCGAAGGAGGAGAGGAAGGGCACCAAAGTGCGGACGGGCGTGAGCAGTCGCAACCGCGAGCAGAAGTGGTCGTGCACGGGCTAGTGGATGGTGAGCACGACGGTCTTGATGTGCGCGGTGGCCATGTCCTGTGTGTGGTGGCCATGTCCTTGGGCCGCGCCTCCGCGGCACCCAGCGACGGCATAGGGCTGACCGCAAGCCCGTTGAGGCGACCTCGACAGTGAGGTGGTGGACAAGGTTGGCGCCCAGGAGACGCCGGAGATGAAAGTCCGGGCGAAGCAAGCGGATCCCGCGAGCCACTGGTCGGTGCTGGCGCCGAGCTCGGCCTGGCCGCAGAACCAGGAGGGGAAAGTCGTGCCATCGTCGATGGCTGCGGGCAGGCGGTGTTGCACGGACAACACGGCGGTCGGGAGCTCGACGGCCGCACGGAGAAGAACGGCTGGAAGGTTGGCTGCGCGAAGGAGACGAGGCAGTAGCCGCCGCCATGGAAGTACACCAGCATCGGGAGCTTGCCACTTCCGCCACCGACGCCGGCCTATAGACACGGACGCGCCGTAGATGGGGAATTGAAGAAGGTAGAGTTGACATATGAGTCCCACATGTCAACAGTCAACATAGCGGTCAATCAAGCGGTGTTGACTACTCTGGCACGTCAGCACTTACGAGTGGGCCCAAGCAAAAAATTCTTAAGTGATCGTTTTTTCGGAAGGGGCGGTCGAATTATGGTAGCTTTTTGTTAAATACTTCATTCATGAGGAATATGAACATATGATAAACAGTTGTATTGAACACAGTTGAACTGATCAGAACTAATCTGCCACCAGGAACAGAGAACTTCCCATCCAGCCATCAAGATGCTTTCCCAAGTATTCAATCAGCGGGATCAATCAACAGAGTGTAATCTAGAGGCACAACCAGGGACCCCAAAGATATTCCAGTATCATCATAAGTTCATAACTTCACTTTTCAAGAAGTTATTTTTGAGCCTCAGCATAGTCTCAAACAAATAAAGGATTAGTTTCATATGGTCATTTGAGGCATATCTCGCAAAGTTCATGCAGAGTACATATGCAATTGGGTAAATATAATTACCAAGATAGAAGCTCCGTGTGATAAAATTGCCTCCCAGAACTCCACCACTCCACAGCCCCACTAAGGGACGCTTCATGGGGATCTAGAGACTATCTGGTGCACCGGTGGGCACCCGGCTCCAATTTGTACCTCCTAAAGTTCACATAGACACAATGTAAATCTATGTTCTGCGATGTTAGAAAATTCTAGTCCAAAATTAAAATATAACTCAAAAGCAAAACAAAAAATGAGTGTATCAGTGGTGATAGCCAAATCTGAAGCCCAACTTACATTCGGTACTATTTCATATCAAATTTGTCTATTCTATCCACCACATTTGCTATGAATTTTGACTAAATTTTTATTGTATGTTCGATACAAGTGTTATGTATGTCCTAATATTCCGTCACCTCTAAATAAGTCACACCACCGTGCATGGTCATGGCTTACCACCACCTCTTCACACTTGTCGTGGGCGTTTGCCGCGTTGTAGACCTAGTGGATGGCCGACAACCTCATGCGTCCGAGGAAATGGGCCTGCTCAAGAAGGTGACGTGTTGGAGATCAATGACAACCGCCTCCTAGGAGCACTATGTGTGGCGGTATAATGATATTCCGAACTGGGAGTAGCTTGGAGGGTTAAGTTTGTTGTGGTGCAGCTAGCCCACTAAATTTCAAGGTCTAGACCTGTCATGTATTTTTCCTGGATTCATTTCAAGTTTTTTTGGTGATGTCATCAATCTTCAGGATTTGCCTGCTCAGCCTGTAGAGGGTGCTATGTGCGCCTCTATGTTTGTATTGTGTTTTAAGAAAAAACAAACGATATTTGCAAGGAAAGGAATACATGAAAATTGCTTAATCAAAAGAAAAGTCAACTAATTCCATCCTTGCAACACATGCATGCATGTTGCTCTGCTGACAACTCAGGCTTGACAAAGCATCTTCAGCATTGCTCTATTTTCTTCTAATACACTTGTGGCCGTTGGTACTTAACTAAGCAATGACGACACATGAACTAAACTAAGCGGGGCGAAGACTTTCGCCACGAATATCCCGATCAATTCTGCCCTGGCCCTGCCAATGTGCAATATAAAGGAGGATAATGAGAAGGAAGCTCGTTAATTCGGCAGGGCAAGGTCATACTCATACACCATCTCCCAATCATCGTCAATGGCGTCTGCCGGAAAGGAGGAGCAGGTCAGTGCTACCCCAACCGTGGACGCTGGCCAAGCGCGAGCGCTCCTGAGCTCCGGCGGCGGAGGTCACGCGTATCTGGACGTCAGGCTGCCGGTGGACTTCGACAAGGACCATGCCGCCGGCGCCGTCAACGTACCCTACTACCTCGCCGTTACTCCCCAGGGTTAGCTGCTTGACCTGTCAATCCCTTGCCTTGATCAGCAAAATGTTTAACTTTCCTTTAGATCTATCGCTGATACTAGTGTTTTCCCATCCTCCTTTCTGATTATCTCAAGGGAAGGAGAAGAACCCGAAATTCGTGGAGGAAGTAGCTGCGCTCTATGGGAAGGAACATCACTTGGTCGTGGTAATTAATAAACTCGTGAACGTTTGATCATCTCCCTCGTGTACAGTAGCCACACTAGATGTGTGTTTTAATTTAATTTTGTGCCCTCGTAGGCTTGCCGCACTGGCGTGAGATCCAAGCTTGCGACCGCGGACCTCGTAAATGCGGTAATTAAGGCCTGCCCAACCCGGTCAATTCTCGCTCAATCTAGCTTGAACCGCCAAAACGTCTTATATTTAGTTTCAGAGGTAGTAATATCTTACTTGTGATCTGGGTGTACGTGCAGGGGTATGAGAACGCGAGGAGCCTGCAAGGTGGCTACGTTGCCTTCCTCCAGAGCGCAGCCGCGGATCAGCAGCCAGCACCTCAGCAGTTGTGAACTTGACTCATGCATGAATGCATGATCAAGCGGAATAAATTCGGAACTTCTTTACATGTGCCCACCATGTTTTCCTTTTTGAACTCTTCACCATGTTCATGATGATGTAAAGACACGGGAGTTGTGTGTACGAATGGGAATCTGTCACCATTTCAACGGGCCGGGGTTGGGGCATATATGTCTGCAGATTTGCGCTTGAGGATGTTTTTCACATTGTGTTTCCATTGATGATTGATTGTTGTCTCCCATCATGTTTTCTTTTTTTGAACACCATCTTATATTAATTAACCAACCACACAAGTACACTCATTCGATACAATATTCACTACATAGGGCGGTACATCATTTTCAAGAATACCATTTAATCTAGTGTCAAAGCTATACTTAGCGATTAAATAAGCCACCATATTGGCCGTACGGCTAATCTTTAACAATTGAAGATTGTTGATCAACTTCGAGATACTCAACGCTTTCATCTTCAAGTCACGCATAGCTGACCTATGTCATAGTCCCCCGATGCATGAGACGCTACCATAAAAGTGCAATCAGTCTATAAAATTATAGGATTATAAAGAGAAATACCTATGTAGAGACCGGCAATGCAAGCCCTAAGCTCCGCTTCCTCCACGCTTTGACAGGCACCAATGAAATCCCACGACGAAACAATAACTTCCCCTTCCTCGTCCCTGACTACCACCCCCACACTGGCTTCTCTAATGGACTCCATGAAGCTAGCATCAACATTAATCTTGAACCAACCTGCAGGAGGTGGGGACCAGCCACTACTCATGTCCAGAGAATTAGGAACTCCGCTAATCCGGCCCAACAGACCTTTTCCTTTATTATGAAAATCCACTGGCATCGGAGAATGATATGCACCAAAGGACGCCCAATAACTCTCCACAAAGCAAGTAGAAGCTGAAACTGATTCCTTTCCTTTACCAAAGATCAAATCATTTCTCAAATGTCAGGTCCTCTAGAATAAGAATATAATTTGGTCTCGCATTACGGGGATTACGGGGTTTAATTGACTCAGGAGAACAACAAACCAATCATACCTCGTATATCTGAAAACCTCCTCATCAGGTAGAGCCCGAATGTTCCTCATGGGCATGCGAAGTGCACGCGCCTTCGGGCACAAGACAAGCGCATGGAAGGTATTTTCATCCTTCATGCCACAAATAGAACATGTACTAACAAAGGCTTGATGATGCGCCACTCTATTAACCTGTACGGCCAAGCTATTGGAAGCAACCCTCCATGCAAAAATATGAATCTTCTGAGGAATGTTTGCCTTCCAAATAATATTCCAAATTTTCCTCTCCGTCCTGGATTGCCCCTCATCCTCTTTTTTATCCTTAAGGGTGAGCGCTAACTTGTACGCACTCCTAACTGAGAACAACCCTGACTTTTCATAATGCCAAGCAACATAATCTGCCTCCCCATTTGATTGGATCCGCAACCTCAAAATCTCATCCGCATCATAAGGGTAAAATAAATGCCTAACCAGCTCCTCATCCCATCTCCTTTCTCCACTCATGAACAATTCCTCAACCCATTTAACTCTAGTTCTATTCTTCTTAGCAGTGATTTTAAGTCCAGAGGCTCTAGGAAGCCAATTATCTCTCCAAATATGTATATTAGCCCCATCACACACTCTCCAAATAACTCCGGATTTAAGCAGCTTCAACCCATGCAGAATACCTTGCCATGTGAGAGAAGCCGACTGCAGGAAAGCTGTGTCTAAAATATGCCCCTGTGGATAATATTTTGCCTTGATCACTCTGGCACACAGAGATTCTGAATTCACCACCAGCCTCCATGCCTGCTTCGCTAAAAGAGCCTGATTAAATAATCTGAGATCTCGAAAACCCATACCACCCTCCGCTTTAGGCTTTGTCATCTTATCCCAAGCCAACCAGTGAGTCTTCCTTCTGTTTTCCTCATCCCCCACCAGAAATTCCTTATAATCTGAGACAATTCCTCGCACAGAGACGTCGGGAATTTAAAAATACCCATAGCATACACCGGAAGAGCTTGCAGAACAGATTTAATCAACGTTTCTTTCGCCCCACAAGAAGCATATTTCTCTATCCAGTCCGATAGTATTTTGAGAGCTTTGTCCTTAGTGGATTGAAATTTGCCCGCCTTCGTTCGACCTTGAGGCACCGGTAGACCAAGATATTTGTCCTCAAATCCTTCGGCGGTAATGCACAAAATTACCATAACAGCCACTTGAACTTCCATACTACATTTTTTACCAAACATGATAGAGCATTTATCTGGGCTCAACAATTGGCCAGTCCCTTTCTCATAGGTTGAAATGATATTTTTAAATGTCAACGCTTGATCAATGGCTCCCTTGAAAAATAATAGACAGTCATCTGCAAACAATAGATGTGAAATACCCGGCACTTGCCTGTTCACCTTGAATTCTAGCAGCGCTCCTCTATTACACGCATCCTGTAACAACACAGAGAGAGCCTTGGCCACGAACAAGAATAAATAAGAAGATAGAGGGTCTCCTTGCCTGATACCACATGAAGGCGTAAATGACTCCAAGAGTTGGCCGTTAAAGCAAAAAGAGAATTTCACCGAGGTAACACAGGCCATAATCCACTTTATCCATCCTCTCGCAAATCCGAGTGCACTCAACATACACTTCAGAAAATTCCAATCCACTCTATCATAAACCTTAGCTAGATCAAGTTTATACGCACAAAACTCACCCCACCCGTCCTTGAGAGTGCTTAAAGAGTGCATACATTCAAACGCAATAAGCGCATTATCAGATATCAGTCTCCCAGGAATAAAAGCACTTTGTGTTGGAGAGATCATACCGTCAAGGAGCGGCCTCAATCTGTTCACTAGGCACTTTCAGATAATTTTATAAATGACATTGCAGAGGCTGATAGGCCGAAATTCTTTGATCGATTGGGGGTTCTTTACCTTTGGTATAAGGACAATTACTGTATCATTAACACCTTCCAGCATCATACCTGTATCAAAGAACTTTTTAACTGCATGAATAATGTCCTCCTTCAACACTCCCCAATTGCGCTGAAAAAACCATGTTTTCGTTCAGCCTTTGGCCTGAATTGATTTGTTCCTTCAGTCTTTACTCTAAAAATTCAGAGTCTACTTCAGACTTTACTCTGAAAATTCAGAGTCCTCTCTAGTGGGATCATTTCTCCATAGCTTTATAGACAAAAAAAACTCTCATGATTTTCACTATCTTGTTCATCTTTTTCTTTTTTTGCGAAAGGATCTTGTTCATCTTTGATTCACAGGATTTGTTAAATACACAGAAATGAAGTGATATGTCATCTCCAATACTATTATAAGATGAATATATGCATTTGATTGTGTGTTGGTAAAAGCGTATGATTTTTCGCATGAGGTTGGACTGGATGATTTTTTTTCTACAAAAACTAGTACTGATAAATTATAAGAAAAATTACCAAAAAAAATATAAGGGAAAATTCCTTTTTTTAGAAACAGAAAAAATTCCTATGAATTGCAATCCCACGAATCAAATAACTCAAGTGAACAAAATTCTCCAGGATTTTCTTTACAATTCCTTGAATCAAAGAAGTGGGCTTCCCTTAAAAAAAGAAGTGGGCTTGCAAATCCTATCACGTGACCTATTTATCAAAATCACTAATTAAGGAGTACTCGTTGCAAAGAACACTCCACTTTCCTAGGTCGCGACAAGTGGCGCACATGCAGCGCGCCACTTGTCGCAACCTGAGAGTTTTCCCTTTTTCGTAGATCTATTTATTCAAAACGTTTTATCTTTTAAACCGTGCGTCCAAATCTCGAATCGTTTTCACCATTGGATTCCTCGTGTCGACATCTTCAAAACTAGACCCCGTGTTGATAGGTTTTGACGAACATTTTTTTACAAAAAAACGGACGAAAAAACCGGGCGAAAAAACCAAACCGGGAGCACGGGTTTATTCTTTTCCAAAAGAGGCACGCCCGTGCCTCTCACGAAATCACACCCGTGCCTCTCGTGGAAGCAAAACCATGACTCTCATGGAAGGAAAAAAAAACAGAAAACACGTTTTTTTTTTTGTTTCCGAGAGGCACGGTCGTGACTCTCGCGAAAACACAATCGTGCCTCTCGCGGAAGCAAAACCGTGACTCTCGCGAAAGAGAAAAAAGAGAAAACGCTTATTTTTTTCCCTTTTTGAGAGGCGCGGCCGTGACTTTTGCGAAAGCACAACAGTGCATCTCGCGGAAGCAAAACCGTGACTCCCGTAAAAGAAAAAAAAACAGAAAACACGTTTTGTTTTTCCCTTTCCGAGAGGCACGGCCGTGACTCTCGCGAAAGCATAATCGTGCCTCTCACGAAAACAAAACCGTGACTCTCGCGAAAGAAAAAAACAGAAAACACGTTTTTTTTTGTTTCCGAAAGGCACGGCCGTGACTCTCGCGGAAAAAAACCGTGACTTTCGCGAAAGGAAAAATAAGAAAACACGTTTTTTCGCGTAATTTTTTTTGATCAAAAAGCTAAGGAAGACCGGGGGAAAACCAAAACGTAAAAAAAAACCAAAAAGAAAACCGTTTAAAAAGCTGAAAACGCGTGCGGGAAAATAAAAAACAAAATCCGAAGGAAACATCCAGAGTGCGACATGTGGCAAATGGCTGAGAGCGCGGCAAGTGGCGCTGATCGTTGCGAGGCTCCCGAAGGAGCGCTCTTTAACTAGTTGATCTCCGAAATCACTAATTAAGGAGTACTCGTTGTAAGAACACTCCATTTTCCCAGGTCGCGACAAGTGGCGCACATGCAGCGCGCCATTTGTCGCAACCTGGGAGTTTTTCCTTTTTTCGTAGATTCGTTTATTCAGAACGCTTTATCTTTTAAACCGCGCGTCCAAATCTCGAACCGTTTTCACCATTGTATTCCTCGCGTCGAGATTTTCAAAACAAAATCCCATGTTGATAGGTTTTGATGAACTTTTTTTCACGAAAAAAACCAAACAAAAAAACAAGCGAAAAAACCGAACCGGGAGCATGGTTTTTCCCTTTCTGAAAGAGGCACACCCATGCCTCTCATGAAATCACCCCCGTGCCTCTCATGGAAGCAAAACTGTGACTCTCATGAAAGAAAAAAAAACAAAAAACACGTATTTTTTTCCTTTTCTGAGAGGCACGGCCGTGACTCTCGCGAAAGCACAAGCGTGCCTCTCGCGGAAGCAAAACCGTGACTCTCGCGAAAAAAAAAAAATAGAAAACACATTTTGTTTTTCCCTTTTCGAGAGGCACGACCGTGACTCTCACGAAAGCACAACCGTGCCTCTCGCGGAAGCAAAACCGTGACTCTCGCGAAAGAAAAATAAATAGAAAACGCGTTTATTTCTGTTTCCGAAAGGCACGGTCGTGACTCTCGCTAAAGCACAAGCGTGCCTCTCGCAGAAAAAAAACCGTAAGTTTTGCAAAAGGAAAAAAAAGAAAACGTGTTTTTTCGCGCAATTTTTTTTCCAATTTTTTTATTGAAAAGCTAAGGAAGACCGGGGAAAAACCAAAATGTCGAAAAAAACCGAAAAAAACTGTTTAAAAAGCCAAAAACGCGTGCGGAAAAATTAAAAAAAAACACGGATGGAATGTTCAAAGCGCGACACGTGGTGAATGACTGAGAGCGCGCCAAGTGGCGCTGATCGTTGCCAGGCTCCTGAAGGACGAAATCACTAATTAAGGAGTACTCGTTGCAAAGAACACTTCACTTTCCCAGGTCGCGACAAGTGGCGCACATTCAGCGCGCCACTTGTCATAACCTGGGAGTTTTCCCTTTTTTCGTGACCGTTTATTCAAAACATTTTATCTCTTAAACCGTGCGTCCATATCTCGAACCGTTTTCACCATTGGATTCCTCGCGTCGAGATCTTCAAAACTAGATCCCATGTTGATAGGTTTTGACGAACTTTTTTTTTCATAAAAAAACCGAATGAAAAAACGAACCGGGAGCACGTTTTTTTTCCCTTTCCGGAAGAGGCACGCCCGTGCCTCTCGTAAAATCACAACCGTGCCTCTCGTGGAAGCAAAACCATGACTCTCGTGTAAGGGAAAAAGAACAAAAAACACGTTTTTTTTTCGTTTTCGAGAGACACGGCCGTGACTCTCGCGAAAGCACAACCGTACCTCTCGTGAAAGCAAAACCGTGACTCTCGCGAAAGAAAAAAAACAGAAAATGCGTATTTTTTCTTTTCCGAGAGGCACGGCCGTGACTTTCGCGTAAGCACAACCGTGCCTCTCGCGGAAGCAAAACCGTGACTCTCACGAACGAAAAAAAAACAGAAAACACATTTTGTTTTTCCCTTTCCGAGAGGCACGGCCGTGACTCTGGCGAAAGAAAAACCATGACTCTCGCAAAAGAAAAAAATGTGTTTTTTTTCGTTTCTGAGAGGCACGGCCGTGACTCTCGTTAAAGCACAACCGTGCCTTTTGCGGAAGAAAAACCGTGACTTTCACGGAAGGAAAAAAAACACATTTTTTCATGAAAAAAATTTCAATTTTTTTATCAAAAAGCTAAGAAAGACCGAGGAAAAACCAAAACGTAAAAAAACTCAAAAAAACTGTTTAAATAGCCGAAAACGCGTGCGGAAAAATAAAAAAAAATCCGAAAGGAGCGTCTAGAACGCGACACGTGGCGAATGACTGAAAGCACGCCAAATGGCACTGATCGTTACGAGGCTCCCGAAGGAGTGCTCGTTAACTACTTGCTCCCCCGAAGGAACGCTCGTTGACTAGTTGCTCCGGTTGCTCTCCCTATTTATCCTCTCAGATTTGGGCCATTGAGAAAATCCGAGCCCAACCTGTTTTCTCTCGAGGGGATTGGACCGGCAGGAGCAGGCTCCAGCCCATATGCCACATTCCGATCGGTGGCGCTGCTCCGCCGCCCAGCGCCTCTCCGCGCAGTCCGGCGGCCGCATCGCCTCTCGGCCTCCGCGAAAGCTATCCAAGACACGGCGAGAAGCAGCCATTCTCGTGTTCATCTCCCAGTTCACCACTCCCGCGTAGAACGGCAACTCGCAAACCCTAGCGAATCTCCCGATCTGCAGCCACCCGGCACGTGCCGGCGGCCGGAATTGAACAGCGATTCGGGAATCTTACGAACCGGCGGTTGGCGGCCGGTGCTAGCGCATATGTTTCGACAATCTACGACTCGGAGGTAATCCGCCCAATATTTATCCCTTTTTTTTGTATTTGTAAAACTTGGGTTAGAGGAATTTCATCAGCGTTCTTGCTTAAACTTGATATTTGATCATGCCAACTTTGTCAGTAGTTGTTTTTTGGAGGACCAATTTGTTATATATGCAGCCATCGGCGGACCTCACATGTCAGTGACACAAAGGGGGGCTTATGATCAAAGGCACACGAACTGGGGGGGTTATCATCAATTATTATTCATCAGCAAGCAAACAACATACAACTTTAAAAGATTCTACTAATATATTAGTACGACGCGGTTGAGGTGGATACAAAGATGTGAACAACTAAGGCATGTTCACCTCTATCTTTTGCATACTAGACCATATTGCAGTTGAACTGGGCTTACCCAAAATATCTGAATAATATTAACTGGTCATATAGCACCCCTACCCCAAAGAAAAGACCAAACGATATCGCAAAGATGACCTTCATGCTGTATTCTCTTGCAGAGATGATGTACATGGGAGCTTCTTCAGCCGAACTGCAATCCCTAATAAGCAGAGAGCCGCACAGCTTCGGGTTCCCGTCAAAACTAGAAGTTGGAAACGTGCTCAGCTGGCCTGTTGTTGGAATAGGTCCTCCTAGGTCGTTGTTAGACATGTTGAACTCAGAAAGGAAGTGAAGGGTCTCAAATGCCGCAGGAATTTCACCAGTCAGATGGTTATTAGACAAATCTAGGATCTGCAGGTTCGTCAGGTTGCAGACTGATTGTGGTATCTCTCCATAAAAGTTGTTGAAACTCAAGTCCAGGCAAAGGAGTGCTTTCAGATGACCAATCTCTTGGGGGATTGTACCGGTGAGTTTATTCTTACCGAGTTTCAGCACTTTTGGCCAATCACTGCCCATGCGGTACTGAAATGATGGGTACACATAAAAAATTGGTAGATCAACGAGGTTTGGGTCCAAATATATGGCAGCATTGTCTGATTTTAGCATTGGCATCTCCATCAAGGTGATTGGGATTGTCCCAGTAAGGCTGTTGTTTGATACATCCAGACTGAAGAGGTAATTTAGTGAGTTGATCCAGCTTGGCATCGTTCCAGTGAGTCGATTACTTTGTAATTGTAGTATCTTCAGATTTGTGAGCTTTGATAACCAAATAGGTACCCTTCCAGTCAACGAACACCAGTCCATGGTAAGAAGTTGAAGATTCTGAAAACCATCAATGGTTTCATCTTGTGGCATGGCCTCATTCATGAAGTTTGTGCCAATAACCAAGGCGCTGATATTCCTGCAGCTCTTAAGGGCATGCAAAACTTTTGTGATATTTGTAAAGGAGTTTCTACTAATTGATAGGAAGGACAGGTGCTTCAGATTGCCAATTCTTGATGAGATTTCACCACGGAAATGGTTCTCTGACAGCCGCAGTGCTGTCAAATTGCTGCATGAGTAAATGCTTTCTGGAATTATACCACTGAGATTGTTCCTCAGGAGATCTAAACTTTTTAGATTCTGTAGGGCAGCGAAGTTTACCTTCCCCAGATCTCCACTGAAGTTGTTGAACTTCAGATCAATGATTTTGAGATTTGTACAGTTGCCCAGTGTTGATGGCAACTCCCCAGACATGTCATTGCTACCAAAATGCAGCTCCTCCAGCCTCTTGAGCAGACCTATCGACTGTGGAATCTTGCCACTGAAGTGATTCCCTTCAAGGTCAAGAGTAGCTAGATTACTGAGTTTGACTATATGTGCTCCATCAAGTTCTCCTTGTAAACCATTGTTGGGGAAGGAGAGGTACTCCAGCGAGGTAGCGCAGAAGGTATCAACAGGGAGAATCCCACTTAGGTTGTTGTTGCCAGCCTTGAGCACTTTGAGCTTGGAACAATTACCCAACGTGTTTGGTATGTCACCACTCAATTGGTTGTAACAGAGGTCAAGCAAAGCTAAATATGGCGACCCAAGGCAGAGAGAAGGTGGTATGTTCCCAGTGAAGCTGTTATTGCTGGCGTTGAGCGCGATCAGACTGTTCATCACCTTCCATGTGGCTGATGGAAATTGCGAGCTGAACTGGTTGCTTGAGATGTTGAGTACCTGCAGAGGCCGGTTGGTGGTAACCAAGGACGGAAACTCAGGCAGCGGTCCGTTGAGCCGACTGAAGCTGACATCGAGGACGATGATGCTTCCAGAGAACACGAGCTCCGCTGGTAGACCACCGGAGAATGAGTTGTGCGAGAGGTTAACACGCAGCAGGCTGGTGAGGTTGGCGAGGAACGGTGAGATGGGCCCTTCAAGTCCTTTGGACTCCAGGGAGACCCCAGTGACGGCCCCATCTCCATTGCAGGAGATGCCTTCCCACTCGCAGCAGTCTGTGCCGCTGTTGTGCCAGGACGTGGCGATGCCACCATCACGCGACAGTCCGGCAAGGAACTGGAGGAGGTTGCGCTTCTCCTGTTCGGTGCATGCAGTGGCGGGAGAGGCTAAGAGGAGCAGCAGGAACAGCTGCAGCACGACCGGATGAACGGTGAATGAGCACATTGGTTAGTGTTTCTCCCCCCTTCTTGTTTTGCTGTTGCTTGAAGAATGCATGCAGTGCTGGTACTAGCTATCATCTAGCAGTGGATTTATTTGCGCATCAGAGCGACTGAACACCATTCATGAGATTCCATATTTCTTGTCATGGGTGCACCTCAGTGCACGGGGCCACGATCGGTCGGTACACTAAAAGACAGTGACACTAGCATAGGAAAGCAACATCTGTGCCTACCCATTATAGCTATAATAAAACCATGTAAACTAGTTTATATAGCTATCACTTAGTTATGGATGGATTAGTAGCTACTGATTAGTCCAAAAATTTCAAGTAGCAAGAAATCAATCTATTTATTTCACTGCCCCAAGTTTCATGTTAAGTGTAAATGCCTGAAGAGAGTAAGGTTAAGTACTAGTTTAGTCATCTTGCCTGACCTATTCATTGCATTGCTGCTCAAGAGTGCATATTGTCCAGGGCCCGGGGGTGGTGGTCTCCTCTACAGACTTACTACCGCATGTTTATGGCATGAGCTAGTGAGGCCCTAGGTGGTATGAACCTAGTTTTTGGCCCAGGGGGTACGAACCTACATTTGTCCCAGGTGGTACCAACCTAAATTTGGAAACGTGATTCATGTATGGGAGGTATTCTGCTCGATAATTATTATGTGATGTCATTTTCCGCCTGCTGTATGAATTAATACCCAACATTTCAGTTTGAAAACTGCTTTATGGTTGTGTTTTTTCTCATGCTTCATGTTACTAGTTTCCCAGAAATCTTATTTACTCATTTCCTTGGGAGAGGTCCTAGAACAAAAGCAGAATCAAAGGCACATATGCATCATCCATTAATGTATATATTTCAGATGCACAAAGAGTGCCTATGGATTATTCATCTGTTCTTTTGTGGGAAAGAAGCTTTGAGCTTCAACTCCCTATGTCTGTTTTTCCTCTTGCCATTTCCCTTTTTGGACACACACACAGAAACAAAAAAAAAACAGCATGTAGATGTCTGCACATGAGATAGACATTCCTGCTTTCACTACTCGGGCAGCTCGAGTTCACCTGTTCAACAACTGTTCTTGATCAAGTCCTTTTTAGGACATTGTAATGACAATTCCTTTTTTTAAATTTGCTTCATGCACTGCCAACCTCTCTTGCTAGCTAATTCTTTTCAGGCAGCTAATTTGGCCTCAGATGCAGTTTGCAGCAATATTGTTGCCATGTTTTTCCATTATTATTTCTGTACATACACAATTTTTGTTGCCAAAGCTGCTCCTCTTCATTGTTTTGATTGATTTGTGCCAATATTTTCCCTACCAGCCAAAATTTCGGCAAGGGACGGTGAGACGCACCCTTCAAGTCTTCTAAATGCCAGGGAGACTTAAGTGACAGACCTGTCTTCTTCATTACAGGCGATGCCTTCCCACTCGTAGCAGGCCGTGCTGTTGTTACGCCACGACATGGCGAGGCCGCCATCTCACGACAGCCCAGAAAGGAAACGGAGGAGGCTGCGCTTCTCCTGCTCAGTGCATGCGGTGGCGGGAGAGGCAAAGAAGAGCAGCAGGAACAACTGCAGCACTACCG